GGGAGTGCTGGGAGGTGGAGGGTGGGTGGAGCGGGGACGCGGGGCGAGAGGTGTATGCCAGAAGAGAGAATGGCGAGAGGTCGAGGAGAAGAGGGAAGGGGATGTGGTCCTGTGATGGAAAGGGAGGGGCGTGGGAAGAGTAGATGAGAGCATATGTGCATGTGTATGCATGCATCACATGGCAAGGAAGGTAAGAGGGTGAATCAGGCATTGGCATAGACACCCGGATAAAAACACACAGACATGCACGCATGCACTCGTGCACACCCACAATTGTACACATGCATATGGACAAACAAATACAGAAACAAAAAGAGTGAGGAGGCAGAGGACATAGCAGCATCTGTGCAATACAGAAAACGGTGCTCTAACTGGACTTGTCAGGCAGCATGGAAGTTCACTCACATGCACCTTGTGCAGCGCGCCCCACGGGGAGAACGCCACTCGCTGCACCTGAATGCACGCCACCTGGGAAGTGCCACGCACGTGCGGTGAGAGATGAGCGATGCGACACCAACAAGGGCCCCGCATGCGCACGAGGGAGAGGAGGGGAGGAGAAGCGAGGCTGGCATGGGGCGAATGTGGAGTGTGGTGGTTGAATGCGTGCATCTGGTAAGTGAGGCAGTGTGGAAGCAGAACAGAGACGTGCACAACGGCAAGCGGGTAGGTGCATTCTTAGCTACCAATGCCCATGCCCATGCCCATGGCCCCCATGGCAGCATGTGCGTGGCAAGCCATGGGTGGCGCCACAGTGCAGCACGGTCACCTGTGGCAGGCGAGCGAGCAGCAGGCGCTTCAGAGCAGGCCGCCTCACACACGGCCATGGGCGGCCGGGCAGCAGCGCTCCCAGGAGCGAGGGGCAGCGACACGCAGTGCTGTCAGCCGCCGTGCACGCCTGCAGGACTGCCAGCACCGCCTGGTAGGAAGGGGGGGGCAGTGTGGCGAGGAGCGATGCAAAGCGGGCAAAGATGCGAGGGGGGAAAGAGAGAGGGGGAAAGAAGACAGGAGGGAGGGAAAGGAGAGAAGGACAGAGAGAGTGGGAGGGAGAACTATTTTGCATATTGTGAGGGCAGCAATGTTACACGCACCTCCATGTCTTCTTGCCGCTTCCTCGTGTGCCCACATGACTCTGCCTCCCCCCCATCCCTGGGCTCAAATGGTCCTCGCTCTCTCACTGCTGCGGCTGCCTCATGCACATCGCTGCTTGCCGCACCAACTTGTGCCAGCAGTGCAGACGCAACTGGGGCATCCACCCCATGCGCATGCACATGGCCATGGGCGTCCCTCGCTGCCTGCCCATGCCCCTCCTCATCCATGCGTAACACCGCTCTGCCAGCAGCACCAGCGCCAGCATATGCATGGGCAGCATTGCAGTGTGATCCCTCATGCCCCCGTTGATCTTGCCCCTTCTGCTGTTGCTGCTGCAGTGCCATGGCAGATCTGACCATCCCAGCTGCTGCCACGTGGCAGCAGCTGGGGCATGTGACGTCCGACACCTGCTCTGGTGCCGTGTAGCTGTGCAGCAAGGAGGTCAGCGACATGCCGTGCTGTGCCACGCGCGGAGGCAGGAGGGCGGGCGGGAGGCAGGGAAGGGCAGTAAGCTGATATTGAAACTAAGTGAAAGCGTGTAGACCAAAAAGAAGGGGAAAGGAAAAAGTAAAAGGAGAAGGAACGATTTACAAGGGAGAGAAGGAGGGGGCGTACCAGGGAGGTGGGAGGGAGTGGGAGCGAGATGTGGGTGCACGGGTGCACACTGCTGGGGAACTGCACATGGGCGACCGGCGCCACCAGGGAAGCGCCGTGGGAGCGTATGAGACCAAGGGTGTATTGCGTTGCGTGAAGAAGGAAGAGAGACCACGAGCACTGTCGTGCCATGGTGCAGACAAGCCAGGAAAGGAGGCCCCACGCTCACCTGGTAACCACACGCTCACCTGATAACCACATGCAAGGCATGCGAGGAGGCTGACAGCGGTGCCTGAGAGCGGCCACTGCAGCGGCGCCTCACACGGCACTGCACTCGCAGCCAGGGGCGAGGGGGCCTGCTCAGTGCACGAGGGAAAGTTCTGCTGCTGCTCCTGAGAGCATGCTGCTGGCTTGCTGCCATGCTCCCTATGCGCCTGTGACTCTTGAGCACAGCAGCAGGCACCCCCTTCACTGTGCTGCCCCTCCATCATCTCCAGCCCCTGCTTCTCCTCGCCTCCGTGCCCGCCTGCTACTCCCGTGCTGCCACAACCTGCACAGCCCTGCGACATGCCATGCCCGTGCTGCCTGCCCTGCCCCACGCGTGTCATCGCACCCCCCTCCGCCCCTGCTGCACCTGCACCTGCACCTGCCTGCTGCACAGCGTGCTCTGATCTCGCGCTGCCTCTGCCCCCATGCGCGCATGCACTGCAGGCAGGCTGCAAGCATCGCTCATCCTCACACCTCCCACCCTCCCTTCCTTCATCCCCCTCCCCACACGCCACACTCCCCCCTTGCCCTTCCCTCCCCCCTCTGCCCTCTACTCCACTGCATCCCGCCCCGCCCTCCACCGCCCGCCACACGCCATGCACGCGCCAGCGCGCCCCACCCCCATGGCGTCCACGCGCCTCATCCCCTGCGAGGGAGCAGAGGCCGGGCAGGTGCAGGGGCGCGGAGGAGAGGCGCAGGTGGCGCTGCAGGGGGACCAGGTCGCGCAGCAGGGCGCCCGCCAGCAGCGAGAGCGCCTCCATGCAGTCCTGCGCGCGGGGGGTGGGGGAAGGGGGGGTGGGGGAAGGGGGGGTGGGGGAAGGGGGGGTGAGGGGTGGGGGTGGGGGGATCAGAGGGGGAAGGGGAGTGGGGGCAACAGAAGAGCAACAGGCTCGCATCAGGCACATGGAAACAAGCAGGCAGGCAGGCAAGCACGGGGGTGGGAGAGCGGGGGTGATGGTGTGTAGGCGCGACACACCTGCTGGTGGTGGAAGTTGAAGCGCGAATCGTGGGGCGCGAGCGCACGCAGAAACGCACGAGAGCACGCCACCTGGCGCCCTGTGATTGGCTCTGAGAGCGCTGTGAGAGGGAGGGAGGTGAAGAGTGTATGGGTGATGAGTGGGCGCGAAGCGATGGGAGAGGTGCAAGGCACGGGAGAGGCAAAGAACACAAGGCAGGGCTAAGGCACGGCAGACTTGAGGCGTGGGGTGGCGAGGCAAGGTGCGGTGAGGTGCGGAGAGGAGAGGAGAGGAGAGGAGAGGAGAGGAAAGGGTACCTTGGAGCAGCGAATGAAGAGCTGTTGTGAGAGGCAGGTTCACGGCAGTGGCAGTGGAGGCGAGGTGGTGTGATGATAGCGAGACAGCGGCATGCAGGTAGGCACGCACTGATGCACTGCTGGCTAGCGACTGATGCATGGTCACACGCAGACAACATGCACACATGCACACACACATGCACACATGCACACATGCACATGCACATGCACACATGCACACATGCACATGCACACATGCACACATGCATGCAACACGCACGCACAGACACACACACACACACACACAACTATAGAGTAAGGTATGGGAGATGGCGGGAGGACGGAAACAAGGCACAAAGGGGTGTGGCCCTGTGGAGGCAGGCGTGTGCGCTAGGCAGCACACCACTCGCGAACCATGGCCACACGTGCAGCGCGCACCGATTCCCATGCCGCTACCACCCTAGACCGATGTCATCCTCTCCGCCAACCCGTCTCACCCGCCCTCCCTCTACTGCGTCACGTCACGAATTTCCCCAGCACCGAGCGCGTGTCGTCGTGTGTGCGGAGCCCCGCGTGTACCTGTAGAATCGCATTAAAGTAGCACAGGTTCGACGGGTTCTGCAGCCCCGCTATGGTCCACGCCTCCAGATAGGTCCCTTTCTCCTCGTCACCGTCGCCTTCTGCCGCAGCCGTCGAATTGCGACGCCTCTCGTCGTCCGACGGCTTGGATCGGATCAGGGCCCACAAGGCAGTAACAGCGCCCACCGCAGCGGCGGCGGCGGCGACGGCGAGGGGAGCGGATTGCCTCGTGTGGCCTTGCCTGACCGCCATCGCAGCGATCGTGCCGTGTGATGGGTGCGTGTTTGGGACGCTATGGGTTGTGGGGATATGCGAATGGTTGCACCCGTTAGTGTTAAGTGAGAGTTCCGAATGTCCTTTACAAAACGAATATACCAATATACAAAACCCTAAATCTACTGAATAACTGAATAACTAATACCAATAGTTTTCTGGTCAGGTTACTTTGCAAACAGATTTATCATGAAACTTTGCAGACTTCCTCTAGAATGAAACATTTAGAACGTTAATACGTACTAATGCATCACACCACAGGGCAGTTAATGCGCACACAATAGCGTAAGAGACCCATTGCTAGCAGTACAATTACGGTAGAGGAGTCATTTGACTCAGTCCAGAACCGTTCCATGTCTCGAGGGTCAACACACTTCAGAGCTTTTCATGATTGAATCGCATGTGCGTTAGTATGCTCAGTTATTGGGCATGTCTTAACATGTGCGTTCTGCTATGCTAAGCTACACAGAGTTGTAGAGTGAACAGTCGGAGTGGTTTGAGAGCAGAACTAAATCCTGAACCCCATCCGCTGAAAGAGGGTGCTGGGTGAGGGAACGAGGGGGACATTGACTTGATGGATTGGGGGTGAGAGAGAGAGGAGAGAGAGAGAGAGAGAGAGAGAGAGAGAGAGAGAGAGAGAGAGAGAGAGAGAGAGAGAGAGAGAGAGAGAGAGAGAGAGAGAGAGAGAGAGAGAGAGAGAGAGATCTGGCTGAGACACTAATGTTCCATGACCTCCTTCCCATCCGCTGGCCGTTCACCCTTCTCCTCCCTCACTCCACCTCTACTGACATGCAGTCAACACCACCTCTCCACCACATAACACACACCACAACGTGCCTGCACCTTCCCTGCATGCACACCCCATTCAACCCATCCATTTAGCCCCACCTTCCCCATCTCTTCCACCCTCCTTTTTCTCCGCACGTCCGCTCCTTCGTTGCGTTTTTTATCTTGGCGTCACTTCAGACTGCGTCACCTCGGAGTGCTGTGGGTGCGGCAGGGGTGCAGGCAGCACGCCCGAGTCATAGTACCCCGTCGCATACCCTGCTGCGCCCGACGATGCAGCCAGCCGTGCCACAGGGCCTGCACTGGGCGCAGCAGCAGCAGCATGAACAGCAGGGGGTGAGAGAGGGGCTCGGGCAGAAGCATACGCAGCACCATGAGCCCTTCCCTGCCGCCCTGCAGCCGCAGCTGCAGCAGCTGCTGCCGCCTCTGCCTCTGCGTCTGCGTCAACATTAGGTACCACAGCAGACCTGCCTCCCATGCCGTACGCTCCAGCGCTGCCAACAGCAGCACCGGAACTGCCTGCAGAGGCATACGCACTGCCTTGCACTGACTCCTTTATGCTGCTTCCTCCTCCTGTCCGCCCAGATAGAGGCGTCCTGGCCTCACCGCCCTCTCTTGAAGCAGGCACGGGACAATGCATTCCTGAACCAGCACTGGCAGCAGCAACCCCGACAGCAGCAGCAGCCCCAACAGCCACAGCAGCACCAGGAGCAGCAGCACCGCCTTGTGATGGCTGCACATCCGACCAGGCACTGTCTTCATCACCCCTCTTCACCGCACTCCACTCCACACTCGCCTCATAGCTTTCCTCCGGCACGCTACTCGCCATGGAAGGCTCGACCGCCGACTGCTCTCGGCCCTGCGTGCTCGCCGCGCTGCCCCTCTCACCGCTCTCCTCCAGCAGCCACGGCGCGCGCCACAGCTTCTCCGCACCGAACCCCGACCCCTCCGACCCCTCGCCCTCCTCGCTCGCCTCTCCGCACGACGCCGCCAGCGCTGCACGCTCCTGCTGCGCGTCCTGCTCGCGCAGGTCCGCCAGCCAGCGCACGACGGTGGACATGTCGGGGCGCGCCTTGGACGACGCGCGGATGCACTGCAGCGCCACCTGCAGCACCCGGAGCAGCACGGCGCGGTCGTAGTGGCCGCCCAGGTTGGGGTCCGCCACGCGCTCCACCATCTTCGCCTGCACCAGCGGACCCACCCACGCCGAGATGTGCACGGGCCCCGACTGCCACTCCGCGCCCTCCGACCCCTGCGCCGGCGACCCGTCGCTCCCCCCCCCTCCGCCGCCGCGTGAATCGCTCCGGCGGCTCTCCGGGGTCCGACTGCCCTCCCCCGGCCTGCTTCCGCCGTCCAACTGGCCTGGCGCCCCGCCTGCGCTCCCCACGGACCCCCCGCCCGCGCCGAGGGACATGAGGCTGGAGGGCGCGATGATGGCGCGCTGGCCGGTGAAGAGCACGAGCAGCAGCACGCCGAAGCTGTATACGTCGCCCTTCACCGTCACCTTGGCCGTGCAGTGGTACTCGGGGTCCAGGTACCCCGGCGTGCCCGCCACGCGCGTGTACAGCGACTCCATCTCGCCCGTCACCGCGCCGTCCTTGCCCTCCAGGATGTACTTGAGCAGCCCGAAGTCCGCGACCTTGGCGCGCATGCGCGCGTCCAGCAGGATGTTGTCGGGCTTGATGTCGCGGTGGATCACGGGCGGCACGGCCGCCGTGTGCAGGTACTGCAGCCCCTCCGCCGTGCCCAGCGCGATGCTCAGCCGCTCCCTGAACGTCAGGTACGGCGGGCCCTTGCGCGCGAGCGCGGTGGAGAGCGTGCCGCCGGGCACGTACTCGTAGACGAGGATGTGCTCCGCGTCCTCCACGCAGTACCCCAGCAGCCGCACCAGGTTCTTGTGCGACAGCCGCGAGATCGTCATCACCTCCTTCTCGAAGTCCCCCGCGCCCGACGACCCGGGCGGCAGCGCCGTCTTGGACCGCTTGACCGCCCACTGCGCGCCCGACTGCCCCACGCCGCGGTACACCGTCGCGAACGCGCCCTCGCCCAGGAAGTTGCCGCGGCTGAAGCCCCACGTGGCGGCGCGGATCTCGTCCAGCGAGTACTTGCGGAACAGCCCGTCCCGCAGGTCCTCCTCCCACTTCGCCAGCGGCTTTCCCGCCGCCGCCCTCGCCGCCACCCCTGCCGCCGCGCCCGCGCCTGCGCCCAGAACCGCGCCTGCGACCGCGACTGGGGCCCCCGGTCGAGGCGGTCCCCCAACCGGTGCCGCTGGCGGAAGAAGCTGGCGCGGGGGCGGCTGCGGTGAATACGGCAGCTGCGGTTGCAGGCCGGGTGTGTAGGCGGAGCCCGCGGGAGGCAAGGCGGAGGCGGGCTTGTGGTGCGGCGATGCTTGCAACGCGGGGACTCTGCCCCGCGCCTCCTCGTCATTCGGCCGCCGCGGCTTCTTGGGGGCTCGATAGAGGCAGCAGCAGCAGTAAATCATTATAGCGAGGACGACGACGACTATAGCGAGGACGCCGCATCCGATGCCGATGATGGCGATGAGGGGAAGTTCCCATGAGAACACCTGAACCATGTGCGCGCGATGCGCCGCGAGGTATTACTAGGAAATATGAAAGACTTTTGGTGGCGAGAGCGGGCGTGAGAAAATGGCAGCGAGAGAGATTGAGTGCAGAACGAGGGTGAGGAAGAGCGGTTAACAATTGCCGGGAATGGCCTCGCGCCTCGTCGAGGAAGATTGAACCCGGCCAGCAGCGCGATGCGTGGAAAGGTTGAGAAGTTGGGAAGACAATGTCACTCTAGGGTGCTACTGGAGCGAACGGACTGCCACGCGGCAGCCGACAAAATCTCCATGGCGTCGTCCGGCTGTAGAGGCGGCGATTGGAGCAGCTACAGCGCAGCGGGACGAGCGAGAGACGACGAGGCGAATTGGTGAACGCCAACGTCGGTCAGGCTGATCCTTGGCTCGAGCTAACACTTGGTGTTTCTAATAGGTAGCAACTACGGGCGAGTCGGGGAAGGAAACACGTATGGCTGTCTTCTTTTGCGGCTACTAAGCTTCTAGAATGGAATTGACTTGGAGCTCTTGAGGTGGAGGCGGGGGAGAAAGAAGCTGGGAAATGCACGAATGATGATGGGGAGGTCCACGCGCCTTCTGGTTTCCCGAAGGGAGTGGGTTGCAGTTGCAGCCAGCACAAGCAGACGTCATGTGTGGCGAACGGGCAGGTTAGCCATCCACAAGGCGTCTTTCAAGGCGCGTTGTTGTCGAGAGTGAACGGACCCAAGTGAATGCCCGGACCCTCCGGATAATCCCAGCCGTCCACGTATTTGACTCTCATGAGCGAGTGACGGCTATCGGCCTGTACAAGGGCGAGGTAGCTGACGGAGTCGGGCAAAGCTGCTGTAACCTGTCACCCGCAAACGGTTCGGTCAGGTGGGAGAGGAATGTGATGCTCTTGTTGCCCAGGATGCGGCGCGGGAGAAGCGAGGGAGAACGAGGGGAAGGAATGGAAAGAAGCGAACTGGGGGAGACAGCTTGGGGGCTGGGAGAATCGGTCAAATAATTGTGGGGCTCTTTCCGTCGGTCGGAGGAAGTTGCAGCGAAGAAGGGTCCGACAACAACGATTGGCTGTGCTATATCGCGTTCACTAAGACTCTTCGTTACACGCAGTTGTGTAATGTTAATGCCATATTTACCATTGCTTTAGAGAAAGACCTCCATCCATGTTCAAGTCCCGAAGTCCTCATTCTGGACCAAATATTCCAATTTGTGACAATATATGTAGGTAACCACCGGTTTCATTTATAAATTCCAATACTCCGATTCATGATTTTCCTTATATATGTTTTTCCAAAACTTTTCAACCACACGAAACGTATATTCTAAATATCGTAACGCCATGGTCAAATCCCAAATATTGTGCCTAGAAGCCTACCCACCGTCACCAGCTACAGAGACTTCATTAATTACAACAGCTTCTTCATCATTCTCTCGTCGTCGGACAAATTGTCTAAATTGATCCACTCTGCAATGCCTTACATTTGTTCACACACACATACCGTATCGCCCCGGATATAAGCGCCGTCCAATTAAAGGCGCCGGCGCTTCTATCTGGAGCATGGCGCTTATGGCCGGAACTCGATTATAAGCGCCCCCCCTGTGAAACCCTGATTTATTATAAGCGCATCCATAATATTATGTTTCAATCCTGATTAAAGCGGTAACGAGTTTTGAATTTCAAGCGAGTCAGCACCCATTTTCAGTTTGTTTGACTTTCGCGGTCCTGACTGCTTTCGCGTCCAGTCAGGATGAGGTGGCAAGCTGGCAAATTGACGTGTCAAAATCTCTGTGCACTGTGCAGCGTCAGAGAATCGCCCTCACGCGATTCAGATTCTGGACGCTTTAAAATATCGACTCGATTGAACTACCGAGACTGAAATGTGTACATTTTGATGCGTTTAAGTTGTATATCTGTACTTGTCATTATATAAGCGCCGGCGCTTATGGCCGTGACTCAATTACAAGCGCCCCCCCCCCCTAAAAAAACCGGTTTTATTATAAGCGCACATGCGTCTATATCCGGGGTTATACGGTATTTTTGGGTACATTCCTCCAAAGACACGTCACAAAAACTTCGCGTCACAAACGTTATTTGTGACTGATTCTTGTCAGAATCTAGCAGCAGGAATGGATGAACTAGCAGCATGCAGGAGTACAAGTAGTAAACCCTAATTGGGCTGTACCCCATATGGGCTACCCCACTACAGCCTAGACAATATGCAGCATATATGTTTGACACACCCCCATAGGCAAAGTGGGGGAGAACAAGGGGTCAAACGACCAGTCAAGAGAAGCAAAGCAAGCTCAGGGTGGATCTCAACGTCACCACACATTCTGAGCACAAGCAAAGGGCCACAAGGCTAGTCCACATATCAATAAGACTAGGCAAGAATGATTGAAAGGAGAGGAACAGTTGGGTACAAGTAGCTAACCCTAGTTGGGTTTGTACCCTGTATTGGCTACCCCACTACAGCCTACCTACATATAAATAACACATTACAACTTAACACACCCCCATAGGCAAAGTGGGGGAGAGCAAAGGGTCACAAGACCAGTCCAGCAAAGCAAAAACAAGCCCAGGGTGGATCACAACGTCACCACACTCCGAGCACAAACAAAGGCCACAAGGCCAGTTCACATGTAGTGCTAGATATAGAACAGGACAAGCAGCAAGACAAATATAAAGTACAGTACAAAGAATGTCAAGCAGTGAGCAAGTGAGGAAACGTGGACACAAGGCCTAAAGAAGTACAGTGCCGCTGATGATCACTAGGCGGGAGCGCCTTGGTGAAGATATCAGCAGTGTTGGCCTTCGAGTCCACGTACACAAGCCGAAGCTGACCGCGCTGCTGAAGCTCTCGAGCAAGAAAGTAGCGAAGAGCAATGTGCTTCGTCCTGTGCTCCAGTCTGTGCTCCTGACACAAGGCAAGAGCCGCCTTGTTGTCACCGTACAGAACTGGAGGAGAACTAGGCCGCTCTCCCAAGTCAGTCAGCAGGTAGGTGAGCCAGCGTAACTCCTGTGCAGCCATGGCTGTGGCGTAGATCTCAGCCTCACAACTAGAGCCGAGAACAGAAGAAGAGCGGGTGGACCGCCACGAGACAGAACCAGAGCCAAGGCTGAAGGTGTAACCCTGCGACGACCGCTGCGTAGCCAGGTCGTCCACCCAAGAAGCGTCCGAGTGACCAGTGAGGACAACTCTGTCGCGTCCTCCAAGCACCAGCCCCATGCCTGATGTACTGCACAAGTAACGCAGTACCCTCTTAGCAGCCTCCCAGTGCTCTCGCCTGTGTCTCCCAGGCGCAACGTAACGAGCAAGGATGCTAAGTGGGTACGCGAGGTCAGGTCGCGTGCAAGTCATCAGGTACATGAGGCAGCCTACAAGCTCTGGGTACGGGCCACTCGGCTCTACGGACTCGTCCGAAGGTGGAGCTGAGAGCGAGTGGCTGGTAGCCAGAGGTGTGGCCTGTGGTGAGGAGAACTGGAAGCCGAAGCGCTGAAGGACCTGCTGCACCATGTGTGACTGAGTCAGGGTGATGGTGCGGCGAGCTCTGTCCCGGGTGATCTGCAAGCCAAGGTAGCTACGCAGTTCACCCAGGTCAGTGCAGGTGTGTCTCTTCTGCAGCTCCGACTTCACACGAGCGAGTGCCTCAGTGTCAGCAGTAGCAAAGACCAAGTCGTCGACGTACACGAGAATGTAGAACGGCGGCAGCGACGTGTCTGTGCGCAGAAACAGCGACGGGTCAGCAGTAGATGGAGCGAACCCAAGAGCCGCAAGTGTAGTCCTCAGTGTGTCGTGCCACTCACGTGGCGCCTGGCGGAGACCGTAGACTGGCCGGCGGAGGCTCCACTGGGTACCAGGAGGAAACGACCCAGTAAAGCCAGGTGGGCGGCGCAGCCAGATCTCCTCGTGCAGGCTGCCCTGCAGGAACGCTGTGCTGAAGTCAAGAGAGTGAAGCTCGTAGTCACGCTGAGCAGCAACGTGCAGCAGAACCCGAAGAGTGGTCATCTTCGGGGTGGGGGAGAAGGTCTGGAAGAAGTCGACCCCCTGACGCTGACTGAAGCCTCTAGCAACGTAACGAGCCTTGAAGACAGGCGGAGAACCTGGCGGCCGCTTCACCCTGAAAATCCACATGCCATCGACGATGTTCGCCCCAGGAGGGGGAACCTCGTCGACGTAGGTGCCTGTGGACTTCCAGGATGCCATCTCTGCGTCCATGGCTGTCTGCCACTGAGAGGAGTAGGGACCCGAGATCGCCTCTGCGTAAGTGCGCGGAGTGGGGATGTCTAGTGCATCCGGGTCTCCCTCAGGGGCAAGCAACCAGGCCACGAGATGAGGTACAGCAGCCGCAAGAGAGTCAAAGTCCTCCTGCCTGTCCTCAAGGACGTCCGTGCCAAGAGCACACTCACCCCCGACGGACGGAGGACAGACAGACTCAGACTCAGCAACAAGACTGGCGGCGTAGTCGAGGCGACAGGCAGCAGCAAAGTCGACAAGCTCAGCGACCAGGGCAGACGCAGCAGAAGACTCAAACGACGGGTCAGTGACAACAGTGGCGAGAAGACGCGTAACAGTAGGGTGGGCAGCACGAACACTGTCAGACTCAGGGTCGGGAACGTCAGGAAGAGAAGACGCAGGAGGAGACGGTAGGGGGACACGCTGTGGACCAGTGGAAGGACGAAGTGCCATAATGTGCGTGCCAGGAACAGGAGGAGGACGCGGACGCGCGACACGACGGCTAGTGGGACCAGTGCGAGCAGTGCGAGCAGCGCGAACAGGCGAGGCAGGACGAGACGCAGGCTCACGACGCTCCGTAAGCGAGTCCGGCTGTGCAGTATAAGGCACAGGAGCAGGGAGGGGGGAGCCAGGCTGAAGGGGAAGGCCAGTGGAAGACGGGAGGGAAAGAACCTGGCGAAGCACCGTGTCAGGCGGCGGCAAAGCCGACGGCGACGGAGGAGCGAAG